TTACCACTAGACATCACCTTTATCTACCTTTACCATAGTTATCACCTTTATTCATATATTTACCACCAGTTAGCACCTTTACCTACCTTTAGGCATACCATTAGTATAACACCTTTATTTACCTTTACCACCTGTTATCACCTTCATCTATCTTTACCTTCAGTTACATGTATCACATTTACCTATCTTAACCCCCAGTTATCACCTTTATCTATTTTTACCATCAGTTAGCACCTTTATGTATCTTTACCTCTAGTTAGCACTATCGTCTGCCGTTACCACCAAATACAGTATTACATGCCTACATAGCGAGACTTTTGGTTCCAGAAGAAAAATCCCGCTGTAGGCAAGTTCCCGCTATAGTAATGCAAAGGGAATATTATTTAAATCCTCGTGATAACGTCCCTTTCGTATCTATATCATTTGCGCTTTAGATCATTCTTTCTTTTCTTGTCAACTTCATTGATTATCTCGCGTTTAATTCGATTGAGAAGATTTTCTTTTGCCTTATTGGAAGCAATATTTTTCTCGGTCTTGTTGCTTGTGCTGTCTATCTTACCGGTAGGCCTACTGTAGAACTGGTGAAGTGGATGCGGGCGTATACCTGAGCATCAACGATCTCAATTAAATGGCTAGGGCTAGGGCACGCGTCTCTCTCTCTCTCTCTCTCTCTTCCTCTCTCTAACTCTCTCTATCTCTTTCTGCCGCCTGCCCCATCTCACTCATCACTGGACTGGCCAATCATAACGCCACACCGCTGACTGCCTATTTAGAGCTCGCCACTCCCACCCCACAACCACCCCCCTCCCTCCCAGCTAGAGCTCGATCAATCTCTCCTGCTGTATCCAAGCTCGAGTCTTTCCTTGCCCCGTTAAACCCGAGCCCAGTTAATTGAGTTTACATAGACTCCCCCCAAAAGAAGGATTCCGGAAAGGTCCCGCTATAGGGATGGTCCCGCTGCAGCAGATGCCGCTATAGTCATGTTGTAACACCTTTATCAACTGATACCACCATTAATTAGCACCTTTAGATTTTTTGTGCGTTTTAATAAGCGTTTTGCTGCACTTTTAACACAATTAGATTATTTCAGTGCTGAAGATAAGAGGTATTACGAATGAGTAACAAACACAAAAAAGAGGGGAGATAAGGACGACATATGCTAAGTAGAAAAGAAGGAGCAAACCACACCAGAGCACCCGCCCACTTGCATACAGTTAGCAACCACCATCACCTTTGTTAAGTGTTACCACAAGATATTACCCCTTTCACAAACCGTTACTACTAGTTAGCAACACCCCTGTAAATGGTTTCGACTGGTTATTAGTGCAAGCACCTTTATTAACCGTTAGTCATCAGCAGCGTGTGTACTGTTACCACGAGTTAACGTTTTTATCTGCTCTTGCTATTTATGGTTAGAACCTTTGTCGACCGTCATCAATAGTTTACCCTTTTACCACTAGTAGCACCGACGCAGAGGAATGTGCAGGCGCAGGAAATAATGGATAGACGGGGTCAGAGAAACATAAGTCGAGAACAACATAACCATGCAACAGGCGGTACAACAAACAAGAGATAGGGCATTTTTTAAAAACTTCCCATGTTTAAATAGTTTCATAACCATCCTCCCACGCAAACCAGTCGTGTCGAAGAAAGACGACAGGCAATAATGTTGATGGTACGGGTTGGCATTGTCAGGCTGGACCGAAACCTCCTCTTTTCTCTCACTCTTGCCCACGCTCATCTCTTATCTCCTCTCATCTGTCATTTCCATCTCCTATTATCTCTCCCTCCCGCCTTCTCATCTCTCCCTCCCGTCCCCTTTTATCGTTCGCCTTCTGTCATGCCTCTTCTCATTTCTCCCTCTCGCTCCCTCTCATATCTCCCTCTGGCCTCCTTTTATCTCCCCCTCTCGCCCCCTCTCATCTCTCACCTCCACTCTATCTCTCACCCTTGCCTCCTCCAATCTCTCGCACGGTAAAGAGACAAGTGAATCTTCACGAGTATCAACTATTATATTTGAGGTTTTGATTGCGAAACTTCATTGGGGGCTCCAGTGGCTAAGTGAGTAGTGAGTTTTGACTCAAGCAATGTCAAGCAAGTGTCTGTGACACGGGGATCAGAT